TGCCTATCATACAGTTCTTTGAACACAAACTGTAAAAAAGTCAAGCTATTAAACTGATTTATTGTGCATGCAGTGTACAATACACTTTGAAAAACTGCCTAAATACACTTATTTATAGCTTGGAATAAAATAAGTATGTATTTAACTTGTATTTCAGTTTTTCATGAGAATGTATATGGCAAGTGCGCTACAGAAAGTGAGCAATGTTTTTTGTCACTTTTGCCTGGTGTTTTAAATTCCTGTCAGATAGAACCTAATGCCAAAGAGCCAAAAATAAGCAGAATACTTCTGAACCTTCCTGTCCTTTAGGCTGAAAAGAAACTCAATCTATACTGTGTTACACATGTGTTCAACTTAGCTGTTTACAGCCAGCTTTCACATAAATGATATTAAAGTACTTTGGGACACTCAGAATGAAGCAAAACTCACAGACAGTATCATGAGCATTCAGATTAGCCTGAAGGCACATGTGGTGTGAAGGAGACTCAAGGTTTGAGTGAGAAAAGACAGGTTGGTGACAGGTTGGTGACACAAGTGGCTGGGCTGCAGGTTAAACAGCTACGGCACGGTAATATGGGAATGTGGTCATAGCACCTCCAGGTCCACAGCCAGCCCATAACTCAAGTGAGTACCTGTGGAGCCCACTAGTTCATTTGCAGGACAACAGAAAGTGGATACAAACCACACTTCAGCTAGCAACAGCTACTTCTAAAATTAAAAACATGCTGAAGTGCTGCTAGGCTATGGCCTAAATCAAGCAAATAAAGGAGAACTACAGTCTAGCTTCAACAGCCAGGGTTTAAGATGTCACCTCGCGCTAAACTTGATTCCCTGGGCAGCAAACTCAATTGCAAGGAGCCAATATCTAATATCAGGTGGGGATTTTTCAGTAAGAGCAGCTTGCTGGACTGACCATGCTGTGAGCCTGGTTAGGAACCCACAACTTCCATATGCAGGAAGTGGTTGCAAAAGCCATTTAGCAGAAGTTCCATAACACCAATTCAAAAGCAGTCAAAGCTGATATAAGAAAGTCTCTAATTTTAGCAACTCTCTACACCACAAGGAGCAAAGTCTGTATTTCCACAATGTCGAAGCCCGCTCCTGGCATTGTTGACCCAGTCAATAGAGCCTGAGCCCTTAAATCCAAGAAAGCAATAAATTAAGGTTGCACATAGGCAGATAGCTGCAATGTCTCCTCCAAGTTGATCTGAATCATGACTGTCAACTTCCAAATAGGGATTTTCTCAGCCTATAATGCTGTTACTTTTTAAGGGACCCAAGAGTAGCACTGTAGCACATCCTGGGACTCGCACACAGCAACCAAAGTCCCATCCTGTTCGCCAATATTCTGAGTACATTTGCAGTGACAAAGCATCAGCCCTGTTTGAACACGTCCTGCATATTTCTGCCAATAGTACAAGTGATGGTGGGATGAAAGAATAAAGCAATAATAGTGCCAAAATCAGTTGGACAAAGACTTGACAGAAACAGTGGCTGCATATTATTTTAACTTTACACCAAAAGCCTGATTTTGCCCCTTCCTTTATCCAAGAACTCACCCTGTGGAAATCTATCCTTCTCATTTAAAACGGGGATATGATTCAGGTGATTCAAAGGCTGACCATCAGTCATTGACTCAGATGACTTTTTTCTTTTTTTTCTCAAAAGCTTTATCTTAAATTACCCCTTACTCTAAGTTTTCTGAGTTTTCCATAGGTCTCTTCACAAGCTGGGCTCACACAGCAGTTAGAGGCTTATTCATTGTTATAGAACATCAAAATATTTTGTCTGCTAAAGCATAAATTGGATAATTTTTCCTTTATACTTCTGGAAGAAGACTTCAAGGAGCTTCATGGGCAGGCAGTAGGAAAGGGTGCAAAGGAAGCTTTTGGTGGGTGAGATTTCATAAGTGATGGCCAGGGGTTTTTAACAGTGCCAGACAACTCACACAGACTGTACATTCTCCAAAAAGATCTTTCAGTGTGACTTTTACTTTAAATGATTGCTTTAAATGATTTTAATGATTTTGCCAATACACCTGTCCAAAGCTGTGTGCTTAAAATCATAGGAAAACATTTTTATCTAACCATTCATTTTAATGTCTAATATTTTGAATAACAAACTTGCACACTGGCCTTTGGATTTCCATCATAGAACAAAAACTTCCATGTTTTCTTTTCTGACTACCAGAACTACTTAGGTTTTCAATAATTACTCTTGCTTTTGATACTGCATTTGTGAAAATAACAATTTACTAATGTTTCATAAGGAAGTAACTGTTATTCCAACACTATAATTTAGTTGTAAGATATGATAGCCTGGTTCTGGTAAGACATGAACATGGACAGAAAGAAGGCAAGGACAGAACTCTGACTCCTCCAATGATTGTAACACAAAATACTGCCTAATGAAATTTTATGGATAGTTGCACATTTTTATAATAAAGTATAATCTTGAAACTGTTTTGAGTTTAGCCAAGAATCTTACTAATGATGTTATCTAAAACAAGGTAATATGCACTCAGTCTGCATTTCAGGAGGGATTTGCCCAGATCACCCCAGAACACAGTTCCTAAATGGCTGCATCCTCGCTGATTTCCCACTGGAAACTTACATGCAAAACATTGTACTCAGATCTGTATTGTGTAAATGGGCTGTCGTTTAGTCTTACCCCTAATTTCTGATGTGAAGGCACTTAGAATTGCCCTTTCTGCTTCCTCTGACAATTCATTTCTTTTTCTCTAAATGCTTAATTTTGCACCTGCTTTCAGTACGGGGACATCCTTCCACAATTTTTGCACGGTCCTCCCCAGCATACTTAAATTCTGAAGATTTCTTCTGAAGGGAGAAGGTCTGTAAGAGTAACCCAGATATCTAAAGCCGCAGCTCACACTCCTCACCAACCCCACTTTTACCTACGCAGACTTTAAACCGCTCCAGTAGAAACCTCAGTACCCCCGGGGCTTTTGTTCAGAACTCCAGCTATAAGCCAGGGTACAGAGGATTTGATGAGGTTTGAAGTGTTTTGATTTCTTTTTTTTTTTTTTTGCTTGCTATTAGCCATTGTA